TCAAATTACCGATAAGGAATCTTTTGAGATTTGTGTATTGACAGCATCTTGTTGCCAGTCAATATTTCGATTGACAGGTGCATGTCAATAATCGAGCAACAGGTGCAGTTTACTTACACTGTCAATAGCTGTAGGCAACCGACTGTTAAGACACTGTGAAATGTTTTGGAAACACACAGAGAATAAAATTTTGAGTTATAAACAGAGAAATACTTACAAACAATTGTAAAGTGTTTCGAAGACTAGAAAAGTAAACAGACATATTCAACAGAAAAATAAATACGTATAAATTATTATCTAAAAGTAGAAATTTTCAAGATATACTTGAGGTTTATAAGAGTGCAAGTTACAATTTCCAAAAAAAATACTACTTGGAGATTCTTCATTTTGAACAAACATAAATGTTTACAGCATTTGTAGACTGCAATTCACTGTGCAATGGGCCAGTATAGGATCTAGCATTGCCTAGAATGGAAACAAACACTGATTTCTGCAGTTCTATTATCACCTGCTACTTAATCCAAATAGCTACTGTTCTGTGATATGACTGAACTAGATAAGGGGAAAAATGTCATTACATATTGAGCATGGACAACTTCACCATCCAGTTTCAAAGTGCTGAAAGTAAATACTGTCCTGACAAGTAGAGATATGCAGTCCAATTATTTTGCCACTTTTACAAAGCATTTGGCTGAAAATCAATGCAAAAGTGTGAGAATAAATTGGGAATGTGGCTCAATCTGACTGTACAAGACAATTAAACAAGTGGAGTAAGATTCTTAGGGATTTTGTTTTATATTACCTTAATTTGACATACATGATGTCCAGTGCAGTATGAAGCTGAATTTTAAAAGTACTTGATTGTAAACTGTATACAAAAATGTCTCTCCTAGTGGGTAGAGTGTAATTCACAGTCTACAATACAGCACAGGCTGTGCCACCTGCAATTTTCACTCTACAGCTATGATTTCTACATTGCATTATTAACTTCATGTCATAAGTACTTAATTGGTAGAAAGATACCTGTGATAGACCTGAGGTAAAAGTAGCTATATAAATGCCAGCTCTTTTGTCTATTAATTCAAAATCTCAAGAATCCTGAAACTAAAAGAAGCAGCAATGATTGCACTCAAATACTGTCATGTATTAAGTATCTCACAAGTATCCACAGGAAATTCTCTTCCACTTCTTACTATGGATATATTAGAACATTTCACAAAAGATGATGATAACCATTCTTTCATATATCTTCCCATTTTATTGCATGTTACAAGTAAAATCAGGGATAACAAAGCAGACTCAGCCTCTAAGCCATTGGTTGATTATAAAGAGTTTTCTTTAGAAAGACCATATGTGAAGAAATCCCTATTTTCAAATAATTGCAGCTAATCTTGAGGTTCGAAAGTGATGAAGTGGGAGGCAAGAATGTTGGAAAAATATCGAAGATACATGGAGAGGCATTCACTGCCTTCCTATCACTGTTCATTTTGCCAGGAAATGGAGCAAATGAGCCACTTCCTGCGAGTCCAGCTTAGCCACTTAAACAGCTGATAAAATGACAATTCTTGCCTCTGTTGACATTGTGGCAGCATATGGATAAACACATGGGTAGACTTCTGGCTAAAGATAGGTGGACTTTGAGCTGATTCTGGGACAGCACTCATTTTTGGGCTGTCTACACTCCACATGGTCCTTTTCCTGGTAGCAATGGTGACCTGGCACTATCTGTCCTTGGTGACACAGTCACCCCTTCCCAGAGCCCACCTACCAATGTCCACATTAGGATTTTGAGGCAGATAGTCATTAATTTGTTTCCACTTTCTAGGTTCTGCCCAGCAATAGCTAGCAGCAATGGAGGCACACTAGAGACTGTTGAACTGCTGGTCCTCTGATTGTACCAGAAGTTCTTTGGGACAGGCATCTTTAATTGGACAACAGCCCAGCTACATCCACTTCATTACCTGCCATCAAAAAAATACTTTCCAAGTTCTCACTCATAATCAAAGCAAAGTCACCTTCTGTTTTCAGCCCTAACAGATATCACCATCGTAAACCTCTGTGCAATTAAGTATTTTCAAAATCTGTCATGCCGCCAAATTGATGATGTAAGTATGATGGGCCAAACGGTCTTCTCTTGTGCTGCAAGATACCATAATTTTGTGTCCACTTAAGTATATCCTGCTTCTGTGTAAGTTTCCGATGATTTTCATATTAAATAAGCAACTTATATTCGTTTTCTCCCACATTAATTGGTTCATTTGTGTTCAGGTCATGTCATCGCCTTTCAAATCGTATGGTATTCCAACTTAATGATTTGCAGTCAAATTTTACAGAAACCAATGTGTACTAACTCTCGAAATACACATTACTTTCAATGGTCACTTCCGGAAGGATGGAGTTATGAACGTGTCATTGGTGTTGCTAACACACTGCTCTCCAATCGGATACATTTTGTAATGCATGCGCTTTTTCTATTTCCCACCCCCATAGGGTATCATTGCCATTCTCAGCCAAACAGTGCCCTTCTTTGGGTATTTGTTTGCACTGTTGTTATCAGGTTGAAATTACTCTTTTTTTTCGGAAATGCAAGGTACTTTGAGCAGTCAGTTCAACTTGGATTAGCACTCAGGCTCTAAATGTGTGAGAACACTAACGCCACTCTTTGGATCACGTGGTTCCACTCCAGAAAATAAAATTACGCAGAGACCAAAATAAAGAAATAGCAGATTACACCATAACTGCAAACAATATAAAAAGGTTTATCAAACAAAATCTTTCAATGGAAAAGTTGCACTTGGTGATCCAAATATGTTCTATTAAATAAAACATTTTCCCAACGTTGCCTTAATTTTCCTTTCACTAACTTTGCTCCAACAGTTAAGTGTTTTACATAAGTTGCAGATAAATAAGAATAGTTGCTCCGTAAAAGACATTAAAGAACTCCCAAAATCATCTTCCCGAATCCGGAATACGCGTGAATTCTCAAAATGCTATGGGAACCGATGTAGCTATGTTTCGAAATAGATTTGTAAAACAACTTTCTCGTAGCCTTAAATTGCATATTCAGGGTTTCTTTTAAATGAAAACGCACACATATCAGATTAAACTCCAGAACGAATGGAGCGTGACATTAATACATTTACTTTTTCCTCATGAAAAATTAATTAGGACCGACTTTTAAATGAGAGTTTTTAAGACATGATCAGGCTGAAAGCATACGAGGTGAAGCTGAAAGAAAACGAACCACAATCTGAAAATCTTGCTTACTCGGATTACTTGACGGTGAATGCAATATTTCATGTCATTAATCATTTTTTTTCAGTTCAAATGTTAAACCGCGTCCGATGTAAGCAAAATCCTCACGTTACAGTTCTAAACAGCGGTCATATTTATTAAAATTGATGGGTTCAAACATTTACTATCAGGTCAAAACCATTCAATAAAAAAAAAGGACAGGCAGAGGGAAGCTTTTACGAGTCGGTGCCGTTGTGAAGTAATTTCTTGTTTCCAGGATGTGCATTAGAATATTCCTGTACCGGATTAAATGTACATCGTGTTGTTGCCAAGGGGTGCTAAAATATTGAACTTTGGCAAATAGGTAAAGTGTGGTTCGAAAGTAATGTGAATTTGTATTTTGAATATTAGGGGTTGTTTTTAAATGATCACTTGGATATGTAATGCTCCGCGTGCCCTCCTTATACGGCACACATGCTTGGCCTAACTTGCCTTCTTGCACAACAATTCGCACACCCTAACACATCGACTTATTTTCTCTTGCACTATAACTGCAGACGTTTCCTTTTTTTTGAGCAAATGTCTCATGCCCCCCTGTCTGTCACCTACAGTGATAATCTCTGGACAAGATGTCCTCTAATTCGAAACGATGCACTGCCGAGTCCCAGACTCAATTCTAGACTGCTGCCAGCGTTTAAAGTATTATTTTGAAGCCTACTTTAACACTTTTGCATCGAAGGCTGTGGATGTTTCATGTTAACCGATCTGAATGAATCTCGTCCAATGGTCGTCAGTACATGTAAAAAGCTTTTTGAGGTTATTTTTATTGGAACCAAGCCTTGTTGTCCGGTTAAGTTGACTTGCACTGTCAATCTGTAACGCACTGTGCTGGTGCTGTTAGCTGCTGTGTTAATGTTCCATATATCTGACTCGAACTTCACATCCGTCCATATCTTTTATTATAAACTTTCGACTTTAAGCATGTTACTTTAAATAGTCACGAATAGGCTATTAAATGAGCCCCAGATCATTGAAGCTGACAGTTCATTTGTCACCCAAGCGCTAAAGGTCGAATTTTGAATTTGTATCTTCTTGACGAGTTTTGCTACATTTAAACTATTTGCCACTGTTCACATTTCCCGTCTCAGTTGGCGTGTGGATAACTTGGCGGTATTGATCCGTCGAGTAAAGTTGCCTTTTTATTTTCATACTGCACTCTGTGACCATTTATACATCTACTTGAAATCTCTAGAGAGAACCAAGGTCATTCGAGATCATTTTGGTTCTTGGTTAAGAACCATTAGTTTACGGCAGCCTCGAGTTTCGACATAAAATGACTCATTCGGTTGTCCCCCGTGGGACCCATTTCTGTTTGTTATGAATTATTTGTACACTTCCCCCACTATCAAAATTAGCTTCGTCGTGCGTGAAGTCTGCGCAGATGGCGTCCTAAGCACTTTGTGCGTGAGTGTGTGTGTGTTGTTAACGGCACTCTTTCCTAACCAATTCTCTTTCCTTTTCATATATTGGAGTCGACCATGCCCATTCTTCTGGCGACTGCAGGATGAGAGCTTGTCGTTTAGATCACAGGCATGCATCTCGCAATGAGATCATTTGTGTTATAAATATCACCGTGCCAACAGTAGCCTTTGCATGGATATGTCTGGTGGACACACCACACGCCGTGGCTGGTGCAAGGAGCAAAGGATCAGCAAAATGCGGGCATCGACCTAGCAGGGAGCACCCCGGGGAGATCTGTTGGAAGAATGCGCCTCCACTGCCTCGTCCTCCTCTTTCTGAATCACACTGTCCACTTCTCTCCAGGGCACAGCGAACAGGTAGCGTCTGCAGAACTACTTCGAGGTACAACAAATGAGAGTTCCACCGTGTTGCAGAGCCGTAGATCACTAAGGAACATGTATCAATGGAATAGATCTGGGCCCCGCACCGGAAGACTTTATTGCAGAGTTGGAATTGGTTTTCATTTGCAGATCCAGCCTGATGGCAAAGTCAGTGGGTCGCATGAAGCCAACCTCTTCAGTAAGTATTTATTCGAAATAGGTTCACAAGACAATGATAGACCGTAATGCATAAACGTAAATTTTACGAAATGGCCTCTGACAGCATTTTTATGGGGACATAACTCCTGAACTTATGTTTGTATACAGCGTATCCAATGATATATCCAATCCCATTCAGCTACACTTTATATTTCCCAGATTGCTTTGGTTACAAGCGTATAGCTTTGATTATAAAGGACAGAGGTGTTTAAGTTGTTACAATAGGAAACCACCTTTGTCAAAAATACTGTTTATTCTAATTAAAGTAATGGCGAGTTGGATCATATGGGTCGGCACATTGGCATTTTCCATATATTGGCTTTGCGGTCGATGTGCGAGATATTGACATTGCTCGGAATTGTTTTAGATATTTGAAAGATAATGTAAAACGTATAACAGTTATTGAGCGAATCTATAATGTTCTACAGTGCGGTGTCAGGAGATCATCCTCATTAGCCTAATTCGACTTAACAGAAAACTGCGTTTCTTTGCAAAGTTATTTTTTGTTGCAAAGATCGATTTTGTGATGAGTGTTTCCGGGGTCAGGTTGTCTGGCGTGTGTTTCATTGTGCGGTCATGTTAAACTGCTAAGTATGTCGCTAACAGGTGCAGGCTGGAGGGAATTGAGTGCTTGAAGTTATTGGGTTAGTGAACGGCGTGGTTATTACCCCCTGACATGTCATATCAATACGTGGATTGACAGTTATTCATTGTCGGAAATAATTTAAAAACATCAAATTACGCTTTTTCTAAAGTTTGTAAATGACACGAATCAGAAATCTTAAACTACACATTACCGATATGGAAGTTGTACATGGGCAATGCCAGTAGTCATATATGTGTATGAATAAATAACCTTCGTTTGAAGACAATTTCTATCAGATTCCCCAATGTGTAATTCCAGCCTGTCAATAACATGGGAACGTGATCTGTGTCAAAACAATATAGCGCAAATGAATCGACAAGGTATTTTATAAATAGCAAATTATTAACATATTTTACAACTTCAAATATTTACAGGCCTACTAACTTCGTGAGACCTCCCATTATTAAAGGGAATTGTTTGAGAAAGCTCTCTGAAGCTTGCAGTCGCAGTGTGTGCGTGCATAATTCAAAAATCTGACAGCAAGAGTCTTATTGTGAAATTTCACTTGCAGGTATTTTGGAAATATTCGCCGTGTCTCAGGGGATAGTGGGAATTCGAGGAATTTTTAGCAACCGATTTCTAGCAATGAATAAAAAGGGGAAACTCCACGCAACTGTGAGTATTACCTGAGGTGCTATTTAGACAAAAAACGTACAGCGCAGAAGAAAAAAAAATTGAATGCAAATTTATATCAAAGTCTGATGCGTCCAGCCATTCATTCAAATGAATGAATCAAAATGAGTTTCACGTTTTAGAAGATGGGTTCGATTCACTAGGCGTGGTCAACATAGCATCTATTTGGATGCATTGTTCATAAAGTTCAATGCAGCCGTCATAAATCATCCATGAAGCATCCAGATATAAGAACTACAGTCGGTATTCTTTCTGAAGCGGACTATCAAATCACTTTCTACCATGATCTTTCTCTGCAGCAAGCAAACATTTGTTAAATACCGTAACCGAGATTTGTCCGAATACTCCTTGACCTTAAAGTATACTCAAAGCCCCCAAAGCACATATTTTTACAGATGCCATTTGTGCACAGGAAAACAAGCCTCTTCGCGTTTTCTTTTCCTTTTTGGCACTGATATCAAAGCCATACGATCTTTAACAGCGCAAAACCAATAAGTGAAATGTACACGATTGGTGAAATAAACTCACCATCCCACTGATTTCAAAACGCGAGCGGTCCCGAAGATTGTTCAAATCTTGTTCTCTTTGCAAAAGCTACAACTATTTAAGTAAAACGAAACGTTGGTGTATATACACACACCAACGTTTCATTATAAATACGTAATATATGAAAAAAAAATCATAAGCGTCCGGGATCAGTGGATTGCTTTAAAGTTGACGCTATATTAATATTGTAATAATAGTCTGTAATATTAGGTTCAGATATTTTACCGGCTATTAAATGCTACGTTCAGTGTGAAAACCAGCGGGTGTTGCAGGCTGACTAGGCTTTACATTTAAATAATAGTCGAATTTTGCTTTTACATCGCCATGGATCTCTTCGGAGAAATATCAACTAAATAATAATCCAATGTGTTTAAAATTGGTGGTGGTGAAGGGGTGTGTGGTGATTGGATAAAATTAACATAACTAACAAAATGGAATGACTGAATTTCACGCAGAAGTCTAAACATACAAATTGACATTTGGCATAACCTGCCTTCTACTAAAATTAATGCAATTAATACTAAATGGCATGTGGGTGCGTGCCAGTCATGGTTGGGTGAAGTTCTTGTGATTGCTTAATAAGTTTGAGAAGGACCGAGAGAATCCTGTCGCCTGTCAGTAAGTGTGGCGCGTTGATAGGACTCAATCTGTCTACTTGCCTCTGAAATGAGAAGAAAGTCAATCGTACGAATAATTCTGCAATCCTGCCAAATCAATTCATATATTAGGTTGTAACACTGCTCCAGTCTTTTTCTCTTATCTTGACTAGTCGCCTGACATCAGTCTCTTTTTTCCAAAATACAGATGGCAACGTAATTAAATCAGTGACTGAGTTTGAAGGATATTGTGTTCCAGCATTTTATACGGACGAGCAATTATCAACCGCTGCACAGAGGAGATTTTCCTTTAATTCTTCCGGAGGATTTGGCGTATTTTGTAATATTGCAATTTTAAATTTCAGGTTAATTGCTAACTTGAGTGCACTGAGTTTGGAAATTGGACAAGCCATACACCAATGATTTCGTATAGAATTTAAAGGAATACCTCTCTCTCATTTTGACCCATGATGGTCGAAATTAATTATTTGCCAAATTTAATCTAAATTCCGAAAACGCATTTGGCATGTTTCTAAAAGCAAAGCCACAAATAGGAATTAACAGAAAACAGTTTTCATGAATTTATCTAGCCTGCTGTGTTTTTATAAACAAGTGAGCTTTAAAAGACGCTGAGACAGGTGCATGGGGAGGTTATGTAGATACAGTTTCTGAAAGTTGTCAACATGTTCTACGATGACAAAAGAGCCCCTGTCACTGCTACAGAGAAGGCTTTCTAGGATCATTTTCAGATTAACACCGCAATGTCCAGTTTTACAACATCTAATCAAAACTATATCAAATATGATTTTTAAAGAATTACCTCGATTGAAAACGCCTACGTTGCCAGGACCGTTTCACTGGTGGTTTATGAGGAACTGTAGGCGCGATTTACCTACCACGTATCAAGTTCCTTTTCTCCATAGTTTGCGGTTTCAACTTCTTCTAACTCGATAATCTGTTTGCTGATACTCCTTACGTCAAAGCAATTACGTGTTCTCGGGTAAATACAGTCACACTTGCGAAATTTATCTGGAATCGAGCTTGCATAACAGGACAAAACAGTGCGCTTTCCCTAACCAAAAGGGCATTGCAAAACACGGATGTACAATGCACTAGAGTGTGCAATCAAATCTCTATGGATTTCAACGCCCTTCCTTTGGAAAAGAAATAACCGAAAGGAAAGAAAGACGGTCATCGACACATGGTCACGTAGAGTCATACAGCACAGAAACAGATCCTTTGGTCCAACTTCCCAATCTCACCTAGTCCCATTTGCCAGCATTTGACCTAAATCACTCGAAACGCTTCCTATTTATATACCCATCAGATGCCTTTTAAATGTTGTAATTGTACCTGCCTCCACCATTTCCTCTGGCAGTTCATTCCAGATACACACCACGTTTTGCATGAAAAGGTTACCCCTCAGGTAATTTTTAAATCTTTCCCCTCTAACCTTAAACCTAAGCCCTCTAGTTTTGGACTCCCTGACCTTGGGAAAAAGACCTTGGCTATTCACCCGATACATTCTTGTCATTATTTTATAAACCACTATAAGGTCACTCCTCAGTCTCCGATGGTCCGGGGAAAAGGCCCCACCCTATTCAGCCTCTCCCAATAGTTCAAAACCTCCAGTCCTGGCAACTTCCTTGTAAATCTTTTCTGGACCCTCTCAAGTTTAATAATGTCCTTCCTATAGAAGGGCAACTAAAATTGTACACAGTGTTCCAAAAGTGGCCTTACTCAATGTCCTGTATCGCTGAACATGACATCCTAACTACAATACTCAATGTCCTGACCAATGAAGGCAAGTATGCCAAAAGCCTTCTTCACCGCCCTGTCTACCTGCGACTCCATTTTCAAGGAACTAAGCCCCTGCATACCTGGGTCTCTTTATTTAGCCACACTCCCCAGGGTCCTACTATTTACTGTCTAAGTCCTACCCTGGTTTGCTTTAACAAAATGCAACACCTCAGATTTTATCTAAATTAAATTCCATCTACCACTCCTCAGCCCATTGGCCCAACTGATCAAAGTCCCTTTGTATTCTGAGATAATTTTCTTCACTGTCCACTACACTACCTGTTTTGTTGCCATCTGCAAACTTATTAACCATACCTCCTAAATTCACATCCAAATCATTTATATAAATGATATAAAGCAGTGGACCCACCACTGATCTTTATAGCATACCACTCGTCGCAGGACTCAAGTCCGATAAACAACCCTCCATTACCACCCTCTGTCTCGTACCTTCAAGCCAGTTTTGTATGCAATTGGTTAGCTCCCCCGGATCCCATGTGATCTAACTTTACTGATCAGTCTACCATGTTGAAACTCATCGAACGCTTTGCTAAAGTCCATATAGCCAATGTCTACTGCTCTGCCTTCATCAATTTTCTTTGCCCCTTCTTCAAAAAATTCAATCAAGTTAGTGAAACATGATTTCCCATGCACAAAGCCATATTGACTGTCCACAATCTGTCCTTGCCTTTCCAAATGCACGTGAATCCTGGGCCTCAGAATCCCGTCCAAAAACCTACCCACCACTGACATAAGGCTCACTGGTCTATAGTTCCCTGGCTTTTCCTTACAGCCTATCTTAAATAATGGCACCACAATTGCCAGCCTCCAATCCTCTGCCATCTCACCCATGGCTATCGATGACACAGATATCTCAGCAAGGGGCCAAGCAATGTCTTCACTAGCTTCCCACAAAGTTCTGGGAAACACCCAATCAAGTCATGGGGATTTATCTACTTTTATATATTTTAAGACGTTCAGCACCTCCTCTTCCGTAATATGAACTTGATCATTCATTGTTAGGGCCAGTATATCATCACCAGGGAGCTCTTGTGACGCAGTGGCACTGTCCTTTTTTTAGAGCCAGGATGCCTGGGTTCAAGTCCCATCTACTGTAGAAGTCTGCAAAAAATCTTTGAACAATTAAAAAATATCTACAATCACCAGGCAGTTTTCCACAAGATTTTCTTTGTAACCACTTTTGATTAACCTCTTCTGAAAGAGTGTGTTCTTGTGTTACTATGGTAATGTGGCCCAAGTCCTATAGCTTAATAGATTGTCAAAGTACAGATCTAAAATCGCACGTTAGCATCCATCCTTGAACTTATACATGCAGTTTGTCACATTTTCTTTCAGAGATTAACTCCCCACAGTGTACTTTTAAGGGACTTTTAAATATAGAAACAGAGGCATTGGGTTCTCCCTTGAATCTCCTCAGAACTTCCTGCACTTTGCCATATATCTATGCCCCCGATTATTGAAGCCTCCATTAAGGGGAAATGCTTCTTTCAATTTACCATATGTACGCCTCTCATAATTTTGTATACCTCAATCAGGTCACCTCTCAACGTTCTTCACTCTAACAAAACAAAACATCCTATCTAGTCTGTCTTCATAACTGAAATACTCCAGCCCAGGCAGCATCCTAATGAATCTCCCCTACACCCTCTCCACTGCTAGCACATCCGAAAGAATGGTGACCTGAAATGCATGCAGTACTCCAACTGTTGCTTAACTAATGTCTTATGCAGCTGCATCATAACCTGTTTGCTCTTCTATTCAATGTCTCGACTAATAAAGATAAATATATATTTTTAACCACTTTATCCACCTCTCCTGTTGTCTTCAAGGATCTGCTAACATGCCCACTAAGGTCTCTCTGATCCACTAGGGTCCTACCATTCGTCATGTGTTGCCTTACCTTGTTAGTCCTCCTAACGTGCATCAGTTTACGCTTTTCGGAACGAAACTTCATTTGCCAGGGTTCTGCCTATCCGATCAACCCATCTACGTTGTCCTGTAATCTAAAGCTGGAGTCTAAGTACGTGTTCAAATCAATGTGCAGTGAATGATTCATTTGTTTCCTTTTGTTGTGCGAGTGCTTGGGTTCCTATTGTACCCTCGCTACATGCTCACTTAGTCCGGTATATCTTCATACAGATGTGGCCAGCACAGTGGCAATGTCCCTACCTCTGGGCCAGGAGACGCGGGCTCAGGCTCCTCTGCTCCAGCGATGTGTAAGGGTATCTCTGAACAGGTTGATTGGAAAAATATAAAGCACATTTCATCCATACGTCTATAGGTCACTACAGCATAAGCCGAGATGTGAGTCAAACCATGGAACATCTTTGAATTCTGAGAACATGAAACAAACCAATGACCACGAGAAAACCCAAACATTGCAGATGTTGGAAATCTGAAGTAATACACAGAACATGCCAGATATACTCCACGGAATCGGCAGCATCAGTGGAGAGAGAAAATAAGTTACATTTTGAGATAGCAGGAACTGCAGATGCTGGAGAATCTGAGATAACAAGGTGTGGAGCTGGATGAACACAGCAGGCCAAGCAGCATCAGAGGAGCAGGAAGGCTGACGTTTCGGGCCTAGACCCTTCCTGCTC